GGGTGCTTTCCGAAATTTGCTGATAATGCTGGCAGTACCACTACTGAAATCACTACATTTTAACCGGTCCGAAATTCGCAGTAGAACTGACAGCAGTTAAAATCGGAACGCATTTGCAGTAATAGTGCGTGACATGTATAGAACTTAACCTAATTTATTAAATTTCATAGGATTTCAATATTTCTAATGTAATTCTGTTTCCGTGTTTGTTTCTGCAATATATGAGTACTAGTTTTAACTAAAAGAAGAAAATTCCGTTATTGTGTAACGGCAATTGTAACACCGATTTTGATTGGTATTCAGAATGTCATATGTGTGAAATATTCCGACAGTTCTTCAGATGATGACGATAAATATATTTTAAATATCTTAAATCAAATTTCGAAACGAGGATTATTGATACCAAGAGCACGTATGAAAAATTATATTACACAAGGACTGTCTTAAAATTATAAGTCACGTTTCTGCTAAGGGCCTTATGTATACATATATGCCAGTAGCCATATGCATTACTGAACTTGCACTACCTTCTGAAATTGTGCAAAATCAGCCGGAAGTCAGTAATTCCCTAGGACCTACTTTCTTGAAAAAGATAGTAGTTACAGCAGAGCTGAAACGTGGCTGAACCAATTTTGAACGAGAAAAGTATTGTCAGCACTGTCAGCAAATTTCGGAACGCACCCTATATAAAGAGATATACGCGCATCTCAGCACTTGCGAGAATTTGCGAATATCTATAGACCTCTGATGGCGGGTCGACGTAGTAATATTCTTTGCAATATTTATCCATAGTAATGTATGAATTGCCCCCCTACCCCCCCAACTTGCGCGCCGAACAATTGTCGGACTTGAAACGCAACCCTATTTGAAAAATCCCCCCCAAATTGCGCGCCGAACAGTCGTCGGTTTTGAAACGCAACTTCTAATAATCTGAAAAACATCCCCTTAATCAAATTGTGAATTCAAACGCATTATTTCGCCCGTGTGAATTAAAATGTAGATTGTGACAAGACTCAATATGTATTTTAACAACTAATATAAAGAGAGAAGGGCCATGAGCCAATAAATTCATTAAATTCTTTTAATTTATTCTAATATATTGCAAAGAATATCACTTAATTTTAGCGTTTCGTCCCGGCTTCCACTACTGGACTCATCAGTAAGGTATTGTAATGGAAGCCTACCTTATACGCCGGTGTAAGTTATTAAATCGAGATTCTATATATAAAGAGATATTTGGGGCGTAATTTGGGGGGGATTTTTCAAATAGGGTTGCGTTTCAAGTCCGACGATTGTTCGGCGCGCAAGTTTGGGGAGGGGGGTGGGTGGCAATTCATACATTACTATGGATAAATATTGCAAAGAATATTACTACGTCGATCCGCCATCAGAGGTCTATAGATATTCGCAAATTCTCGCAAGTGCTGAGATGCGCGTATATCTCTTTATATAGAATCTCTACTAAATAACTCTCTTAGGCGTATAAGGTAGGCTTCCATTACAATACCTTACTGATGAGTCCAGTAGCCGGGACGAAACGCCAAAATTAAGTGATATTCTTTGCAATATATTAGAATAAATTAAAAGAATTTAACGAATTTATTGGCTTATGGCCCTTCTCTCTTTATATTAGTTGTTAAAATACATATTGAATCTTGTCACAATCTACATCTCAATTATAAAATTATTTTTTTATATTATTATAAACATGGAAATGGCATTGTAAGAGTCAAACGAAAAGAAAATTAAATTAACAACAAATTAATACATATATTCTAAAATTAATGAACATATAAAATTTACATAAATGTAACGATTAAAAAACAGATGTTAATTACATTACTAGTTTCGACCACCAAATCTGGTCCTCTTCAGATGAAACACTTTACGTTGAAATGTACAAA